AAAAGGGATTGAAAAGGAAAAATAAATAAATAAGTCCCCTAGCGGGGAAACAAGAGTGAGTGGCAAGATTGTAAATTAAGGGAAGCGTGGAGTGAAGATGATGACGGTGAGAATGGGGAGAAAAAAGAGAAGGCATGGGTAAGATTTGCGTGGGACAAAGAGGACACTATGATTAGGGATTTTGCATGCGCCTTCCTCGATTCCCTCTTTTTTTTTTCCTCAATTTTTAAATATTCATAATTTGTTCATACCCCTTTTCACGTACGTTACGCGGGTCAATGGTAACGGGTGGGATGTGGCTGGCTCCAGTGTACCATTACCATTCTCCTTTGGTCAAGAACTCCACATTTACAACTCGTTTTAATTATTTATTTATTTTGAAAATATAAATTTTAATTTTAATTTAAAAACATGAAAGTAAAATACAATAAAGCAAAATGAATCGGGTGAATTTCATAAACAAGCTACGATTCCGCTTTATCCCACTCATTTACTATTGAGATGGAATAATGCGGGGCAAGTCAGATGGAAAAAATAAAATTCCATTTTCTAATCAAGTTAGCACCGGCCACCAAAACATGTGAGTTTGCTCGAGTTTTTGCAAAGATAAATCGAGCTAACATGTTCCATACTTCACATTCATCTTAGTAATAAAAATAATTTAAAATAAACTAATCATGATACTGTTGAATTATTTTGTTCAATCAATGTACATAGTAAAATATTACCAGTACAGTGAGTTAACTGTAGTTCACTCTTTTCTAAAAACTTGTTCAGATACACGTGTTTATTTCAAGTTTGAATCTCACCATTCGAGTGAAAGAGAATAATCAACTCAGCTACGTTCTAATAATTGCTATGAATTATTGTGTTGATTACGGTTTACAATTTGTGGTCATGTGAAATCTATAAAAATGGATAAATATGTGAATTCAATATAATGTGTACTTAAAAAGTTTGATCAATTAAAAATATATATATTACCAAAGAAGAGCTTTATTTTGAGTCCTACCATTATTTATTATTAAAAACTTGTAAAAATGTGAGACACGTGCGTATGCGTGAGGCGAATGTGTGTGTCAATGCATTAGGAGATTACATACATACATAACACACATGAATACATACATAGATGACAGTAGAGAGAGAGAGAGAAATGACAAGTGAGGTGTGGATGATGGGACAGGAGTAGTGGGTGGCGGTATCATTATACATTGTGGTGGGCTCCACTTCTTCAATGTAACCGGCTGGCATGGGGCTCGACGCGGGCCGGATCCACCCGTTTATCCCTTGGAAACGTTATAATCCCATTTTTCTTCAAATTATTTTTAATTATATATTTTATGCGATCCCACTTTCCAAATTTCATTTTTCTTCAAATTATTTTTAATTATATATTTTATGAGATCCATATTTTTTATCAATTTTTCAAGCACATATTTTATTAACTTTTATTAAAATATATTAAAAAACTATTTTTTATCTAAATTAAATAGGGACTAAATTTTACGAATGTTTTTTCTAGTTATCATTAACTATTCTATTTTAATAGTGTTTGACAAGGGGGGTTAATGTCTTAGTTGATATTGAACTTTTTCAAAGTGTAATTGAACTTTTAAAGTTTTAGAATTGCTAATGAACTTTTTTCAAATATTTTTCGTGTGTTATTACATTTTGAAAAAAATTCAGGTTATCACTGATTCACTATCGCTAGCCATTTTAGCCTCTGTTTGACAATTATTATTTTCAAATTCTTTAATCTATATACTCATTTTTAACTACATATTAACACAATAAAATATACTGCACGTAACTCAAAAAAAAATTCTACTTTTTAACTACACATTCTCCTTAGAATCACTATTCAAAACTTCATTTTACCTAAATAATGATTGTCAACATAGACTTAAAACCATATCATGTCATCGTTCGTTAAAATAATGTACACTAACATCCAGGGGTAGAGCCAACCTGTCAAGGTAGGGGGGTCCTAGAGTTCCAAATTTTTTTTTTGAAAAATTATCTCTTAAAATGATGGAAGTTGGTACTTTGTGATGGAGAAATGAAATAAAATAACATAAATTAATGTACATTATTAACAAAAAAAAAATTCAAGAAACGTATAAATGAAAGTACTATTCTTTAATTTAGCAAAATCATACTTTATTACAAACGTTCTTTTCGAGTCATCATACTTTGATAACGTTGTATAACTACATCATCATCAATCATATCGAATATATCCTTCTCAATATACACAAGCAAGCTATCATTTATCATTCATTCGATTGTGCAATCAATTCTTAACATAATTCATTACAGAAGGAATCGGGTAAAATTGGATTGGTAGGATTTAATTTTATTAATTATGAGGACAAAATGGTAAATATAAAAAAAATTGTCAAAAAATTGGGGGGGTCAAAGTCCCCCCCAGGACGGCAGGACCCCCTGCCTCCGTCCCTACTAACATCAAAAGCATCTCAAGTGTTAAATTTCGTCTATGTCAACGTATTATATATGTCAACTTTTTAGAACATGGAGAAACAATTGGAATAACATTTTAGTAAATTTTGTGGT